GTTTTAAAGTCTATTTTATCTGAGATTAGTATTGCCACTCCTGCTCTTTTTTGGTAGTTGTTAGCTTGATATATTTTTTTCCATCCTTTGATTTTTAATAGATTTACATCTTTGTTACTTAGATGTGTCTCTTGTAGACAGCATATTGATGCATCCCTTTTTTTTAATCCATTCTGTCACTCTCAGTCTCTTATGAATGCATTTAGGCCATTTACATTCAGTGTAATTATTGATAGGTGAGAGTTTATTGCTGTCATTTCGTAGTGCTTTTTTTTGTGGTACTGATGTTTTCTTTGTTCCTCTTACTCTCCTGTGCTGAATTCTTTTTGTTCGTGGATTTTTTTTTCCTTTCTTTTGTTTTTGTAGGTTTTGTTTTTGCTGAGACTTTATGTTTTTCTTCTTTATTCTAATGAGTATGTTTGTTAACTTTCTTTGTGGTTACCTTGAAATTTACCCTTATCTTCCTATGTTTGAACGATTCTATTATTACTTGGTATCACCTTGCCTTCCTCTCCATTAGAAGGTTCTATACCTACACCATTTATTCTGTCTTTTATTGTTCTGATGCTGTTGTCATTTACAGATTAATCTCTCTGGTTCCCTGTTGTAAATCTTTTGGTTTTGAATAATCCTTAAGAGTTCATTTCCTAGGTTGATATCTGCCTAGTACAATTCTGTGTCCTAGGTTCAGCCTGTGGTGTGATGTTTGTTGTCAGATCGAAGGACTCCCTTTAATAATTTTTGTAAATTTCGTTTGGTTTTTACATAGTACCTTAATTTCTTTTTCATCTGGAAATGACCTAATATCCCCATCATATTTGAACGAGAGTTTTGCAGAATATATTATTCTTGGCTGGCAATTTTTTTATTTCAAGGTTTTATATATGTCGTCCCATTGCCTTCTTGTCTGCATGGTTTCTGCCGAATAATCCGAGCTTAGTCTTATTGTTTCTCCTCTGTATGTGACTTTTTGTTTTTGTCAAGCTGCTGTCAGGATTCTGTCATTGTCTTCGGTTTTAGCAAGTGTTATTATGATGCCTTGGTGATTTCCTTTTGGGGTCTATCCTATACGGGGTCCGTTGAGCTTCTTGGATGGTCAGCTTTTCATTTTTCATGATATTGGGGAAGTTTTCTGTCAGCAATTCTTCAATGATCATCTCTGTGTTTTCTCCCCGTGTTCTGGAACTCTGATCACTCGAAAATTTTTTTTTCTTGTCTTTTCTTTTTTTTTTTATTGTACTTTAGATAAAGGTTTATAGAACAAATAGTTTCTCATTCAACAGTCAGTACATGTATTGTTTTATGATGCTGGTTAACAACCTCATGACATGTCAACACTCTCCCTTCTCGACCTTGGAGTACCTTTTTTTTTTTTTTTGGTGAAAATATACATAGCCAAAGTTGCACCATTTCAAAAATTTCTACATGTACAATTCAGTGACATCGATTACATTCTTCCAGTTGTGCTGCTATTCTCACTATCCATTTCCAAATTATTCCATCACCATTATCTTCAACTCACTGCCCCCTAGGCTCCCCATCAAACCTTTTGAGTTGCTGTTGTCAATTTGATCTCACATA